ACCCTGGTCAGGTCAGGCTCGGACATGTTTCTGGACAGGGTACACCCTGGTCAGGTCAGGGGACAGGGTACACCCTGGTCAGGTCAGGGGACAGGGTAAACCCTGGTCAGTTTGACATTTCCTCACAGGGAAATACCAAACTTAAAAGAGAACATGAAGCAACTGTCATTTACAGTCACATTTAAACCTATTGATCATAGGCTAAGATTGTCCGATTTACCTAATCCTAATCCTTAATCTGCATGTTTTTGGACAAAGGACCAGAAGAGAATGTGCAAATGCCATAAAGACCTGGGAGTGACAAACTTCTTGCCTCAAGGAGAGGCCACTAACCACTTCTGTCAATGTGTGTCCTAGAATACACTACAATCATTATTAATAAATGAAAGCAGTGAATACAAACCGATTTCTTGGACTTGGGTGTGGACAAAGTTGACGTGGGGACGTTGGATCTCCTACTCAAAAACATCCTGAACGTGGCCGACTCAAAGTTCTCCACTGCAAAACATCTCCACGAAGTCTGCAAGGACAGGAACACGACAAGACTTGACGGACAGGACACGTTCAGAACCAAGACATCTACAAATGTTTTCTAAGAATGTAGAGACAACTCTGAATAAGCTTGTTGTTCTTTACTGCTGCTGTTTTCTGCTTCTGTCTCAGTTTTTTTTTTTTTCAGGCGGGCACATACCTGAATAAGACAGGCAGCTGCAGGGATCTGTCTATTGAAGTGTTTCTGTCTTTGCTTTTGCTGCACCTTCAGGGCAAAGCCAGAGCCCAGAATTCCCTGAGAGCCGAAGCACAGCAGAGTTTGTGCTCATTAATTCAGTTTTAACAGAGAGCAGGCAGCAGCATGATCCAAAAGACAAAAATACACTGGGAACAGGGGAAGACAAAAAATGTAGAAAAAAAGGAAAACTGCAATGCCAAAACATTTATACCCACTTTTCACTGTCTTTAAGATGTGGATTAGTTCAATCTAAATTTCTGAAATATGATTTAATTATGGAGTGATGCACTGCTGAGTGAACACAACATAAAAGAGAGTCTTTAACTTTGGATTTATAAACCCAACACATACTGTAACAAATATTATTCACGTCAGCCTAAAATAGAAAATGTAGTTGTTCGGCCATTTATCACGCTACTTACTGCAGGCAGTGCAAAGAAAGAAATGGCAAAGACGGAAAAACAGGATGCTATTGTCTTTCCAATCCAGGTCTGTGGCACCAGGTCTCCGTAACCGATGGTAGTCACCGTTACCTTTGAAAAGACACCAGACATGTTTGTTTCCTCAGAAAAATACTTCTGTTATACAATGTACTTGTCGCAGTGACAAACAATCAGGATTGGAATTGTGTCAGTTTACATTTTTCTACACACAGTTCATTGATCAGTCAGACAGACTCCAGATTGAGTTGATTGCCACACAGTATAGCAGTTTCACCAAACCCTCATTTTAGCATGCATCATTTTGGAGCAGAGTGAAAGCTACACCAGTGAGTGACATTAGAGCTGCACTGATCCGTCCGCCAAACAGCTGCATTTCGTCAGGTCTCACTTTGTCACCATCAGCAGCTAATCTGAAATAACACATAACTAACAGATGTCTGTGGCAGATGTCATTGTTGGAAAACTGAGAATGTGTGGGAGAAATACAGTTTGAACACCAGGTACATATTTTTTAATGCTTAGCATTATAAATATGTTTCAAACAATTTGTTCTTACGTTATGTCAAGATTTACAAATAAAAATACTGTATTTCTAAATTAAATCTAAACAAACAACCTTTCGATTAATTTATAAAAGATAATACGTGCTTACTCAAAGACAGTGTTGATATGTGCTGGAAATGACATTTTCCTACTAGGTTTGGACTTAAAATAATTTGAAAAGAAATTGAGGCTGACATTACATAATTTTTACAATAATATCACTATGTTTCACCATATCTGAAGAACAAACAAATCCATTTTTTATGGGTTTTAGTTATGAAGACCAAGTCTTTTTGTTTAAACAACTCAATGCTATGCACGACATTCAGTAACTGAAGACAACAATAGAATGACTGTACAATCAGACAAGTGTTGACTTAATTAACAGTCTCCAATTTACCCCACAATGACTTTACTTATATTGCAGCTATGACAGCTCCCCTTTGTGTTAAGAAACTGTGAGTAGTAATGGCAAAATGTATTAGTAATTATTAATGTGAAGCATCACGATGTCCCAACCTTAAAATTCTTGGATTACCAAATGTCTTAAAGCCTCACCATTGAGGACAGTGAAATGAATTTTAATGACCATCCATTAAATTAGTGCCATAACTGAAGTGAAGGATTGAGCGCTGACATTTAAATCTGCTGTTATCAGGGAGGTCCATAAAGCTCACTGCTAATTAGGCTCAGCAGTTTTTTATAAGATATAAACCTTTAAATTATCCCTTTTCATTGCAAGCTTTTTTTTTTAAACATTAAAGTAAAGATTGTCCATGAACCGCCCTGCTCTTTAAAAACGCCACACACTTGGTGGTGTCCAAGCTCACTGTACTGAATGAGGCTGAGGCTATTGTCTCTAACCACTGACTGCTGTGGTTTACTTCCCAGTGTAGTCGGTCTTTGAATGTTGCCTGAAAAACTTGTCATATTTCCAACTGTGCAATGCAGGATGGAAAAATGGATTGTGACCTAAAATTTCTCTTTGTGTTTACTGGTTGTATATGCAGCCCACATGGTGTTCTCAAGGGTTTTGACCCTACTCCTACAATGACAAAAGCAAAGAATAAACACAGTATCTATTTGACCTTTGTTTTACTCACTGAATACACTCTACAACAAACTTTTTTTTTTCCCAGAATCTTGCCAAAATCCTTTTGGAAAAATGGCTCTGCTACAAAATATAGTAAATACTACAAAGAAACACCTTTAGTGCCTGAAACTATTCTATAAAATACATTTAGTGAAATGCTGACTTTAGAAATAGTTTAAAAATTGAAAGAAAAAAAAAAACTTTATATATTGTTTTTCTACATTTTAGAATGTACTGTATATTCTGCACTGTGAGGAATGGTATGAGGAATAAAGTCTCCAGAGTGACAACAACTGTTTGATGAAAGTCTTTTTTAATTATGGAATGCATAAGTCATGGGAGCTCAGCTGCCTCCACTCTTGCTGACTCTGTACATAATTATACTCCAGGCTCATAAATGAGAATGTCTCTGAAGTAATCTCCACTGTTAACTACTGTATATTAGAAAGTTAGCCAGCAGTTGCTGGAGGGACATTATACTAATTAAATAATCATTTTCTGGTGGTTGGTCATATGTCATATACAGTGCACCTGTTAAACACTACATGAGCTACTACTACATTTCACGCAAATCATGTTGTCTCACTGTGTGCTTTAACACTTGTATCGCACACATTAAGTCTGCAGATAACCTTAATCAGTTCCAATCAGCTGTTCTTTCTTGTATGTGTCAAACAGTAAGGTAGTTGTTCTAATGTTTTACTGTGTCTGCACAAGGTTTACAGCAGGGGGAAAACCACATCTCAGTCTTTAAAGCCTTAGTTTGGTCTGTTTGTGTAAACAGAATCTAAAATCTCAGATGGGAACCTGTGAGCTCAAGACAGGATCAGCACGAGGAACTCCGCAGCAGTTGATCATCAGAACTAATCAAAGCCCAAAAGAAGAGCAATAAGGAGGAGACGTGGGCTCTGGAAGCCAACCATTAAAATGACATTGTTCATTTCACAACAGGATATTTTCATCCTTTTACTCTTTTCTCCGTCTAACCCTTTGATGCCTGAACAATGCACAGAGAGCATAGACAAACGATAGTCACAATTAATTTGAGGTTCTTGTTCTGCAGCAACAGAACAGTTTTGTGTTTGGTATCTATGTGGGTTGTATCAGTATAACTGGGCCCATGGGCCTTGAGTTTGACACATGCGCTAGATCATTTAATAATAATATATATTTTTCATAGACTTCTAAATAAATTATATGGACGATGATACTTTTTCCAACAATTGGTCTTATGATTATTCCTGGTTTATGGAGTCAATGTTCAAGTCTACTCATCTTGACTTCAGCAGCAGCTATAAACAATACATTTAACAAAAGAAAAAAAAAAAAAAAACACACGTTCTTACCACTCCCCACCACAAAGCATCTGCATAGTTCCTGAAATGGTCACCGTTGCCCGCCCAATCCTTTTCTGCCAGATAGACAAAGTACGAGGAGAAGATCAAACTCAGGAAGCCGATGTATAAAGTGGTGATCAGTTCCTGAAACACACATCAAAAAATAATCGATTTATCGATTTTCAATTCACACCATCATGACGGATAAAATAAGAACAAAGTTTATTACAACATCCATAAGACCATGTCTCATGTAATCTTGGTGTGTTGTCTGTTAATACATGACATATGGTTGTGAATATTCATGCACGTGTGCTGTGAACAGGATGATGTTGGTTTTGGCCTCATTCACAGCAACAATCAAAAGCAGGTTCAGACTTATTTCATATATATAACATTTTCTTCTGTGTGATTTTAACAAAAGTACATGAACACACCAGATTACTAAAACACATTCTTTAAAAAAAAATATTCCTGACAATTTGACCCCTTTTATTGCTCGGTGAACACAAGTCCATTCTATTCATGAAAAGAAAACCTTGGACAAATATATGAAGCTCTGTTAAAACAAACAGGTTCGGACAGAAGCATAACAAATCTGCATGCAGACAGGCACTTTTGAAAAGCCAGGGCAGGGTTGAGGGATTTCAGATTCAGAACGTGAAATGAAGAAATAATGCTCCCCAAATGAAAGACCACAGTCTTGAATAATGATAGCAGCCCAATTCCAAAGGGAAATCGCAGAAGCCTGTAACACTTTAAACCAACACCACTGCCTGCGATTCACAAATGCAGCGCTCTTGGAAACAAGAGGTTTAAATGTGTTCAGGTGCATTATTTTTAATCTGCTACCATAAGGTTTGGTTGAAGTGATCTGCTATTGCTGCAACCTGGCAAACACAACCAGGAGACATTTGCTTCCCATCTGTCAGCAGGGAGCAAATGTGCAAATTTCTGCTTGTGGTTGCCAGACACCAGAACTAGACTGTTTCCCAGTTTTTATTCATGTTTTCATAACCTGGAGATACTGAATGTCGACTAAAGTGGCTAAAGCAGCATTAGCAACAGTGGGCTGTAACCAGGAAGGCTGCAGAAGTCAAATATTTACCAAAGACGACACAGCTAGTCCACCAGTGTCCAACTGGGCAATGGCAAATTGACCTCTACAGTACTGTCAGCCTCACGACTGCACACTGCAATTCCCTGAGGGCTGCTGGGACTGTAGGGTTCCTGAACCGAGGACTATTAGAGCCAAAAAGGTTGCAGAGCAAACGGGAATAGGAAACAGCCTGAACAACAATGTGTGCATCTGTGTGAGGGCCGTGGCATATTGAAGGCCATTCCGACACAGCTGTAGTGAGTTGCATAATTAGACTATTTAGCACACACAGAGTTGAATGCAGTGCTACACAACTACACATCAGTGGAGAGCACAGGTGTGCTTGACTGAAGAACTGCTATAGAATGTAATATTTTTGTTATATTTGCATTTTTGTCCCCGCCAGACCCTGCACCACAGACGCCCAACCTGAGAATGGATTCATCTGTGTACACTTTGTATTTTTGACTCAAATGCTGAATACTTTAAGAGAGACTTTTAGAGGGAGAGTGGGGGTGTCTTTTAGTCAGATTCCCGCGGTTTAAATCTACAGAGATACAGAATATATTTGAATTCACACTAATATTCCTTTGACTCTCACTGGTAATACGGCGTCTGGCGGTGAATACCTGCTGCTTTTTACAATGTGAAGAGAGCAGGGATTTTCCATCATTTACTTATAAACCCCAATTTCAATGAAACCGAAAGGTCGAGTAAAGCGATGATGAAATACAATAACTTGAAATCCTTTTCAACCTATTTTCTTTAGAGATACTACATAGAGAAAATATTTATTGTTTAAAGTGAATGCTGGGACAAAGGTTGACTGGAAAAAGACTGGAATGCTAAAAAAAGGGGGGGAGTGTACAAAAGCAGCCTCCCCCAATAACACACATAGACACCAGACTCTACAGTGTTTAATTAGCTCGGCTTTGCAATTAAGAATTTTTGTGTTTGTTTGGCTTGCTTACAGTACATATCTGGCTCTAATAGAAAATGTCTGGCACAACATGAAGCGTAGAATCAGACAAGAGATACCGTAGATCATAAAGCAGCCAAGTCTTACTCAGCCAGAAAGGACCGAATACTACAAACTGAAGATGATCCTTACTCAGCCAGAAAGGACCGAATACTGCAAACTGAAGATGATCATTGTACTTAACCAATTGTACTTAAGTACTCCGTAAGTGAATTTTTTTTTCTTGATGAAGTCACTCCTCGACTCATCAGAGAACAACATTTACGTCAAACATTTCTTGTTCTAATGGTCCCAACTTCTCACTTCACTAACACTGTCCCTTTTAACCAAAGTAAGTTACTGCTGATTGCCATGAGCCATGTGGTAATCTGCCAAAGCCACAGTGAATAACACTAGCTCTGCAACAACTCTGACACTCCTCTCACCTTCATCACTCCTTCCTTTCACACAGACAATGAACACGTCTGCTCTCTCCGCCAGATCTCTGAAATGTTCCCAGGAGTCTCAAAATCTAATCTGTGATACAACCTGCAGGGTGAATATTGGGTGAATATTCCCCAAGCAGTATACATTTTATAATGAAAACGTTGTCCAGTTTTGTGCAGTGGTGGAAAATAACAACCCTGCATGAAGAGTAGAGGCTCAAAGCCCATGACGGCAGTCACCTATGATAATCCTTTACTGCATTTTTGTGTTGTGTGAATGTACCTGCCGATGGATGAAGACAACAGAACCCAGGAGACGCCACGTTCCTCCCTGACGGTCAACATGCAGCATACGCAAGATCTGCAGGAAGCGAATCCCTCTGGAGAATAACGGAGGTATTCTTACAATATGCATTTTTTAAATTAAAGAAACAAACATTTATTGTTTATTATCTTATGTTCATACATTCTTTCTATTAATGTTTTATTTCACACTGATCCTCTGTGTCCAGGCTTTCCTTTTTTCAAACTAAATGTTTTTATTAAAAATGAATAATGAATTCTGGTGTCTTTTCTGGTCACCTACCTTATTGCAGAAGTGGCAAACACCTGTCCTTTGGAGCCCACCGACAGCACAATTACTGAGGCGACAACAACAATCAAGTCTGGATGATAGAGAGTAAAGGATGTTAATAAACAGGATCAATAACCAGAGCTTTAACAGCAGGGGGCGTGCGGGGGGCGTGGCCCTGCATACATATAGAAGAGCAGCCAGTGTGAAGATGAGGTCCAGTGTCCTGTCGTGATTGATTATCATTGGTCTTTATCAACACACATCCTACCCTTATATTCATTACTGCTCATTCAAATTAAGACCTGCCTGTTACAGTTTTAACAGGTCTGACTAATGTGACAAGAAGGAAGTAAACATGTTTCATGGAGGTTGCACAGGGCCGTGGGAGAGAGCAGAGTTCTCACCAATAATAGATATTGGCTTCCTGGCAAATCGCAGCCGACCCCGGATGCCGACGTATTTACTGCGGCAGCCCGCGGACCACAGACGGACAAAATACTCCAAGCCGAAGAACACCACCAGGAAGATCTCCTGAGGGAGAAACAAGGAGCACGGATGTAATGGATAAAGGGGTACGAACAGGTGGGGAGGGAAAGAAATGTCGGAAATCAGTGCATTAACACCTGACCGGCTGCACAGAACTTAGAATTAAAATATGATGACATTAAATTATACATGCAGCTGTTGCACATCTGTTCCGCAGCATCTCAAATCTGATCATTTCACAAATTCAAGGATGTAGCAGATGACGCGGGTGTTTATTATATATATTTTACTATGTAAATTAAGTACCCTAGAAGTTCTTGTTTTTAATCATGATACTTTAAAGGCTGCTCACTTATCCCATCCTTTTATCATATTTCTTTTGTAAAATTGCAATGTGTTTAAATGGGAAGATTAGGTTCAAACACACTTTGAAAAGTTGTGATTGGTCTGGAAAACAAACTTCATGATGTGCAGCCTGGTTGAATAATAGTTGAAGCAGAAAGACGCGGGAGAACATGGTTCAGGCAAACCGCAATAATATTTACATTCACTGGCAAAATCCAAAGTCCAAAATAACAAGCAAATGTCACACAGAGAAAGTAATAATGCTGTGTATATGGAGGCCCTGGAAAACAGGGTTAGGAAACAGCTTTAAAGGTTTGACAATGCAAATGAAAAAAAAAAACAAAAAAAAAAAAACAACAAAACAAGGACACAAAACCAATTAGAAAACATGATGTAGGAAAACAAAAGTCAGAAACATGAGGGGGATGTTGAGGTTTATCAGTTGCAGCAATTGTTTATTTGAGGCAAGAAGAAAAATCATTTGACACAAAGCCTTTAATTCTGCAGAACACAGAACATGTCCAGAAGACTCCCCTATAAGACAGATATTCTGTGTATGACAAGAATAAAACCCAAACATTTTGTCTGAGCCTTGCTCTGACATTATACCCTCTTACAAAAATAGAAACAAGTTTCACTTCTTTGGGCCCTAGAATAACATCTCTATGAGATTTACTGTGTTACTAGATTTAAACAATCAACAAGAACATCAAAGAGTTCCCCTTTAAGACTTTGTTCTAATCACATCTGGATTACTTCCACTTTCTTATAATTGATATCATTTCTTTAAATTCACGAGACAAATAATAGAAACAACTCATAACAATTTTGTTTTCAACTCTAGCCTCGACATATAGTGTTTCCATTTGAAGGCTTATTATTTTTCCTTCAGTTGCCCCTTAAGGGCAAATTGATTAAAGGGAAAAAAAATCAAGCCCAACAAACATTGGAGTGTTGTAAAAATGGAAAGCAATTACTTCCATGTGTCTTTTAATAATTGACAAGCGTTTGCAAATTAGGTTTTCCCTGAAAGCGAATCAATATCCTTTCAAAGATTTTTAATGATTGCGTAATCAGTTTGCAGTGACTGATGGGATTAACAAACTGGCAGGGGACAGATGTCCTCTCTGTGAAGTGCAGGGGAAGATGTTTTCTGCTGGGAATCACTGGAGGTGTTCTTTTTTCCTCCTCATTAGAGCCATAGATCGACATATCAGTGAACACAGCACATAATTAAAAATGGTTTAATAACGAGCTGGGTTCTGCTCTTGGATGTCGGTGTGTAAAATGTTGAGGTTGCCTAATTTATTCACTGTGGATTTAATACTTCAAGAATGAAACATTAGCAACAAGAAGAGAGCAAAGCCAAACGATTTAGTAAAATACAGTCTGATTCAACATTAAATATTGTCTGGAAATACAAAAAATACTTTTAGTCACTATGAATTTCTACACAGAGCAAATCAGTTACATTGTTTGTTTTTTCAGTTCAACTTGTTTCTCATTTCCTGTTGGTTTTCAAGCGTGTTGATTTTAGATACGATTATATTGTTGTGAACGTCGTGTGATAATTCAACATATTTGTCATACAAGATATTTAAAGATATATTTAGAAACAAGTGTAGTTTCAAACAAGAAGATGAATGAATTTCTTTCACCGATCGACTGTCTTCCTCACAGTTGCCAACAGAATTAATTATGGCTGGTTTATAATCCATACAAGGCTGTGTTTTGTTGCAGCTCATTTCCATGCTGTTTAATTAGCCATTCATCATGGTTCTGATTGAATTCTCTTTACAAACCCCATTTCAATAATAGTGGGCTTTACATACTTTAGACAAGCAAACAAAGGTGAGTTCATCTCCCGTTCACACCCTAACTCTGCTGCATTCAAAACTTTGAATCACTAGGAAGACTTTTAATGTCATCCAGTTTCATTGAGACAGACCTGGACTGCAGACAGACCAGTGAACCCTAAACCTGAACTTATCCTCCCAGAAAGTCCCTGAAGAAACTCTCAAAAAGTGACAATCTCTGCAGAAAGTCTCTATGAAAATCCATGTCGGGCTTAGGTTTAACTGTACATAAAATGTTCATTTAAGTTAAAAAAAAACCCATAGATTTTAAATTTTAATTAAACCGTCACTTTACAAGGCTATTGATCACTTGGTAATGTATTTAGAGAAAAAGACACATCTTGGCTGTATGTCATCATGACCTTCAGTTCAACAAATGCCTTTGAGTGTGTGAGTCCTCAGGATTATCTGACAAGTGTGTGTGTGCCTAAATACTTCAAACAGCCAGTGGTGCATCTGCATGGTGAGGACAGAGCAGCGTTTCTTGTTAACCTTGAGTTCGTAGTTGTAAAGAAACAAAAGGAGAAGAGAGTTGTGTGGTCAGGGGGAAGAGAAAATGAAATAGGGAGAAGGAAACTGAATATCTCCTGAAAGTTTATGAAAAGGTCCCTTAAGGACTGTGGATTGAAATGATGAAAGATATGGTTGGCTTAGTAGCCTGGCAAATATTAATTATTCATTATCGGCATAAAGAATTATGGAAAATGAAATCTCTCTACAATGTGATCTCGCGGCAAAAAATACCAAAAGTGTTGAAAAAAGTGATTTTTATTACACTCTGATATTAGTTTTGCCTTTTGGCCACTTTTCATTTTAATTATCTGACTTGCTGTAACTTACATTAAAAAAAAAAAAAGAAGCTCTGCAGCAGACTACAGCTCCCCGAACCTTTATGGTCAGAAGGAATGTGGAAACTGTGATGCAACAGCTGGGATAGTTACTACCCTGAGGCCAAGGTGAAAATGTCACAGTGCTTCAGCTCTCCTTGATGAAAATCAAGCATGTTTTCATGATACGAGTGTCAGTAACTGAACCCCCACCCAAACAGCTTCAGCCCTCTGTACGCTGCATTACATTGGTTAACTTTTTCATCCTCCTTCTTTGCTCAGGCACTTTTTGTATCTCTCATTCCCAGTTACAGCCCACTATTTCTTTCAAATAGCACCATTCAGGCTGTCACATCCTACTCTTGTCTCACCTCAGACTGAAAACACTCTTTAGTCACAGTCCTCCCTATACGTTTCACACTCTTTAGTCACAGTCCTCCCTATACTTTTCGTTTCATTTCCTTACACACACACACTCACACACACACACACAAAAACACTCAAATATGTCAAATGATCCTTTCTATTTCTCTTTTTTTAGCACTAAGCTGTTTAATTTAAACTAAAAATCCATATTATCTCTGACTTTCAATTGGGTGTTAATTTAATTAAGTCATTAATTAAAACTGACAGTATTAGCTGCCTACAAAATTGTCTTTATTTATTCTGATTGCATGAACACCAACTGCAACACCAATTTACTACAAGGTTAAATAAAACAAGTGGTCGAAAAACGTCATTATATTTTAACCTAATGTAAGAAAAGATAATGGAAAACAGGGACAAAGTACAGAAAAATAATTTACTTTTTCAAAATGTATTTCCTTAAAGGCTATGGTTTTAGTGAATTTTTATGTCTATGTAACATTATTTCATAGTAAACAACCATTTAAACACATTGTTAAGCATTTTGCATTTTTTCACTTTTAGATTTGCTTTTTCTTTGCTTTTGCTTTTTCTTTGACTTGCTTTGATTTTTTTGTTGTTGTTACCTTCATTCACCCTGAGAGGTTCCATCACCAGTGAAGAGCTTAAAAGAGGTGTGAAGGTGCCCATGCGTGATTGCCCTGAATCAGAGGCCTATAGAGTTCCTCTAGTTTTTCAGTGTTAGAATCATCAACTTGTTTTGAAGTGTCTTAAAGAGCATTGTGAGTGTACTCAACTCAAACATCTCAAAAAGGCCAAAACTAACTATTTCCAGGCAACTTATCTGATCACGTGGTTTTAGTAGCAAAGCACATTCAAAGATTGCTGCAGGAAACCCAAAAGAAAAAATTTACACAGCTCGTCCCTGGGTTATCTGAATGCAGGATTTGGTTTTGGAACATGTCTTCGTATTATTGTTTTGGAGAATATGAATTCAGTTATTTTCACCAAATCCAATCAAATAACTATATATATATGACAAACATTTTTCATCAATATCTCAATATCACCATAAGACGTTGTACCAAACATTATACTGTTATTGTGTCAAACAATAAAGAATTTTAATCTGATTAAATTGCATTCTACAAATATTTATTTCTACTGGAACAGAAAGACAAATAACGGCCAACTGGTTGATTTGGCCATGACTGTTCATCTTGATCAGAGTTGATTTGAAAACTTTAATAAAGTCATTGTCAGCTACGTTTTTAATCTGACCACAGTCCCTCAAAATCCATTAGACAATTGTATCAGTCAGTTTGTTAGTGGTTACTGACCCTGTTTTAAAAACAAATCAATTACCACAAGTTATAATTTGACAGCCCTATATAAACCAAATATACCTACCACCCAAAACAGTGTTGTGTGAGCCAAGTTCTGGTACTCTTCTATAGTAGAGAGAACACTCAGGAACAGACAGGCCAGAACAATGAGGAAGCTGTCAAGGACAAAGAGAAAAAAAAATCAGACTGAATTAATAGACATAGGCCTGTGGACGGATTACTTTTCTCTGTATAGAATCCAATTACCGACTGTGTACGACCACTGGAAAAGAATTAAAGATCAAACTATCTAGTCTAAAAATGAACTTTATTTTATGGTTATGTTTGTAAGTCTTAGCTATTGGGAATATAGTTAATTTACCCCTAAGGTCTATAAAGTATGAGAATGGTGGTTCCATACTGTAGCGGTTGGCATGCCTGCCTTGAAACCAGAGAGCAGTTCTAGGTTTGATTCCCAGAGGAACCACATATCCCTAATAGGGTCTACCCTGTAGCAGCAGCCTGTGTCGGCTGCAAAGACTCACACTGTAAAGTCCACTGTTGTTGGACAAATAAGGGACTCAGTTATAATAATTAGTATCTTTATTTCATATTATAAGTTCCTTAAAATTTGCATTAGCCGTCACTGCAGCCCGTCATGTTTTAATGACGACAGGACAGGATTACTCTCAAAGCCTCTTGCACTCAGATAATGGTGGACATTGTTTACTTTGTTAAATGTAAGATTGCTGATTCTGATTGCTAATGTTTTCTGTAGTGTTGTCGCAAAGCGGGCAGACCAGGAAAGATAAAAGACATGAGACCAAGGACTTACAGCACAGACATAAAAGCACTTCTGAATAATTCTGAAAAAGTAGTGGAATAATAAGGAGAGCAGAAACTGTGACCATGGACCTCTGAGAACAAGGACTTAAAAACAACGGGAATGTGGGCGGATGGTGCAGGGATTTAGGAAGTGGGTGTAATCACAGCAGAACAGTGAGAGGGTCAAACCACAGCTATGTCAAATGGGACTAGGCTGTGGTGTAATGGAAAACACCTGTCCAGCTGTGGAACTACAAAAACTGGAGTTTTGTTTAAGAGAATGTTTAAACGAAAGACCGATGTTTATTATGGAATATTTCATAATAACTTTGGATTTATTAGGCCCAGACCAAAGTTATTTCAACTACATGTTTCTAACTCATCATGTGAATCATCACTTGTTGAACAATCCTGATTTGGTACTCTTTTAACTGTAGCTATTTGGGGCTACAGCAGTGCTCTGTTAGAATCCCCCCTACTAGGGCAAGACTCCAGTTTTGATATTACCAATTTACAAAATCCAGGCTGAGTCCTTCAGTAATAGCATTCAACAAAAACCAAGTGCCAGTAAATGATCCCTGACTATTGCTGTGGCAGCCCCTGATGGAGGAACGAGGTGAAATTGGTTCAAGGGGGAAAGGCCCCTCCATGGCATGAGCACCAAGGATATGACATGCTGCTGTTATTATACGCAGCCAGCTGGCATTTCTGGGTATGTTTGTTGACTGCAGTCTCTGGAACTGATGGATTAGAACAGGTCTAGGATCCAAGGTAACTGCTTCTGATAGATCTCAATAACAAACAGACAATAGATGTTATGCAGAGTGAGAAACTTCACTGAAAATGAAGAAAAACTATCACAAAGGTTTTCTTTCTTCTTTATTTTAAAGTGAACCACAAAGACAGAAAACCTAAAAGATTCACAACACCCTTAAAGCAGAAGCTGTATATGATCAGTAAAACCTGGAGAACCCAGATTTCCCCTGGTGTCATTTTCCTGTTATTGTTTCAAAGTGTTGTATTGTGTTTCTGTAAGCAGAGATTAATGAAAAACTATTTGCACAAAGAGTAATCATTCCCACTCTGTGCTGCTGAGTTCGCAACATCAAGGCTTTTATCAGCACATGCTAAACCCTGGGTTTATTAAAGATGAACCAGGAATCCTGGTACCTCCTGAAACACTCGCGCACACACACGCACAAAACCCCACACTGCGATGACTAGGGCCAAATACTGCAGTATGGTGGTAGCATATGAAATGGCAACAAACAAGAACACACATTATGAGCCTCCACTTGTGCTCCACTTTAAATCCATCTGAGACCAAATGTGAATTTTCAGTTTCTTTCTCTACGGCCTTTGCCGCTGTATTTCACTTGCTTCACCTCTATGTGAATGGAAAATACAATCCCTAAATCACCATCTGACGCACAAGGCTTTAGTGTATATAGCAGCAGACAAAATAATACATTGCTTGGCTACATAGGCACTGCTGTACTCTAAACACAAGCTCAAAACATGGCTCCTATCTATCATTGATGGACAGGTTCACTTACACTCTGCAGTGCAATGTGTGCAAAAACAAAGCAAAGGACAAGATAAGAGTTAGTGGTGACGCATCACACTATCACTGGCTCTCGCCCTTAAATATCTTGTTTTTCTTTGCTTCATAGAAGTGACAAAAGAAGTAAAACAGAGGCTAAGATGAATGTAGGAACAAAATTGTTTTTAAAAACGTCAAAGCATCGTCAAAGCCCGAGATAACTGTTTCTTCCTCTGGGAAGTCTGGGAAGATCGCCATCATCTGACCCTGTCAATATGCTTCATCTGAAAACTAACACACTGCGTTAGACATAAAGGCAAACATTTTTAAAAGGATAATGCAAACAATTCAAGTCAAAAACCGCTCAGATTACGAACATTAAAGCGTGAACTCTTCTCCTGCTGTTACGTGTTTAAAAATGTGCCTTCATTTCCTTCCTCCTGCTCGATGCTGTGACAGAACATCAGGTCTGAAAGCACCATCTGAATAAGGTTTTCTTTTAAGCCTCCTGGTTGACTGGTGTTACCAGTAGGTGGGAAGGATCTGTGCTGTTTTAGAGTAAAATACTGCATTAAATGTTAAGCTGCACACTAGAGACAGACGTCGAAGAGGATTTTTTTGCTAAGCCAGCAACAGTAAAACCTAGATAATTCTAAAGCTACACTAAACACTCGTATTTGAATGTAAGGAAATGCCTTTTTAATTACAAAAACAATGTGAGTGGCACAATCATATCTGCAAACACATTTTCCTATTTTTGCAACATCTAGCAGATTTACGGAGCTTCTCAGCAAACTGTACAACAGCACTCCATATGGTGGTAATACACAAGTGTACCTGCATTAAGACCACAATTGCTCTATACACAAGTGTACCTGCATTAAGACCACTGTTACCAGGCTGTTATTTAAACACGTAACAGAATTTGAAGATTTTAAAAGTATCCTTCACAGCTTATCAGTAAATACTGTTTATGCATCAGCAGTGACGTACTGTGAGCAACACTGCAGGAGGTAAGTGACATGCTTCATTTCTATATAGTGCTAGAGAAAAACACTAGTACAAAATATAAAGTACACCTCCAGCAGTGTAAAGGGGGAAATGCAGGGTACTTGCTGGGCCACATATAGAAACAAACAACCATTTACACCCACATGCTCAGAGGTCGATTTAGAGTTTCCAATTACCCTAATCCCCAATATGCATATTTCTGGACTGTGGGAGGAAATCAGGGCATCCAGAGAAAACCCACACACAAACTGAGCAATGTTGCTCAACCAAAACACAACCAGACACATAAACTAGTTTTGTTTAGAATAGATCTGGGCGTCCTTCTCTCTGCTATCAGGAGCAATCCAGTCGCTCATCAGTCCTGTTTATGACTCTGCTCACTCCTCAAGTTTTTTTTTAGAACTTATTCTACTGGATAAATAGATGAATCGATTCCCCGTTTGTTTGGCTCAACTGCAAGTGTCCACTGCTGTATGCAACATTTCCAGTACGGACCGTGTCCATGCTGGACAAAATGTTGCAGGACCTGACTCCAAACTGCAGCGTGGTTTTCAAAGACTGTTTAATGATCACTCTGTTCAGTGTTTATTATCACCAGCAGAACCGCTGACATCATACTCCTGCTAGGGCCTGTAAGCAGGACACTGCCTTCAGTGACAAGTTAATATGACCGGGCTTTTTAGTCCAACCACAGGTCCTTGGAACAAAACCGCTACCTGAGAGTATAAAAAAGCAGCTAAATAAAAATACAACAAGGCTGAAATTAATAATTAAAATTATAATAATAAAAAATGAATATACCTTTCAATTTTTATTTTAATGCATACATTTTCTTTCTGCGGGTGTTCCTGCAATATTTAATTCCAGAGATGAAAACAAAACATATTCTGCCTATTTTCATTGATTTTTTTAATGACCAATAAATACTGATGATACATACAGTGGCCACTGAGGTGTGTTATAGAAAGACTCGCTGTAATGTGTTAGAGTTGCACTGCGTTGGCCTGTGCTCCCTTTGAGTCGCTGGGAGTGTAACCTGCTACGACAGCCTGCATTTCCCTCTGTCCCCTTCAACACGGCAGGGTCATGGGGTGGCAGTGCCACCGAGGACTGTTCCTCTACAGCACACACTTAATGCCAAGTTTAGCTGCCTGCTATCAGTGCCAGCAAGTGGAAAACAGGCAGGACACATGGTGTGTGTGTCTGTGCGTATGTGTGTGTGGGGGGTTGGGGGAGTTCAACTGGTAAAACACATCCCACATTCCTAAGCCTTTGCATGAACACAGTTAGCTAGAAAAATAAATACTGGGGTCATGGGTGTGATTATCACTACTATTGCATCATCAAAGTGTGTGTACATAACAGTTTGACCAAATCCTATTAAACTCATTGGATTAGAAACAAACAAAAAAAAAATACATTAAAAAAACTGCTTAGAGTCCATGTTGTTGATGCAGTTGTGAAACAACAATTGAATCATAATTACAGATCCCTCAGTGCTTTGCTTTGTCTTTAGAGTTGCCGGTGTTTAATCGTAGGTTATTTATTATCTGTTGTGTCTAGACACATTATCCTTCTATTGCTACCATTTCTGGGAGACCATTAGGAAACCTTGCTGTGCGGTGGTATCTGTGCACAACACAGCACAACATTAACCGTTATCTGTAAGTTTCAACGCTCACATCCTCAATTACCTCCTCATCTGTTTAATTAGGATCTTAAAGTTGCAATAATGCCCCCCTCCCTCCCATCAGAGCGGTTATCAGTGGTTATGGAAATAAAAACACTCACACTGTGAAGTGATACACGAAGCACTTCCAACCAGACGGTCTTTCCAAAAAGTTGTACACGCGTCCTTGGATGTAGGTGCGCGTGAGGACCGGTCGGACCCCTGTGCTGTACACCGACATCCGCACAGACATTCGTGGATGAGATGATAAGTACGGGTTGAGTCTGACGGGTGGGGCATCTCTGCGGGTTTTACCGTCTGCTGGCATGTGTTGTCTTTCAGGAAAAGTCTCCGTGTTAACTGGGGTCTCTGCCTCAGGCGAGCTGAAAGTGGTTTCCGACAGCTCTAAATCCAGGGGTCTATTACCACGTGTCTCCGCAGAAGACCCCGGTGTGCTCCTCCGATGGGAAGCGCACTGAGACATAATAACTCCCACTAACTCCTATGTGAGTGGAAGAACTTTTTCCCGTTATTTTCGTCCACCGACTGCCACGGACAAATGTTCGCCCATGTGCGCTCACCTTCTGTTGCGCGGCCGATCGTGCCAGGGTGCATAAAACTGTAACATAAACAGTGTTATGAATGCTCCAAATCACAGCGATGGCGTTTCTTTAATTTAACTTTACAGCTCTCTGGGCTGCCGAGGATATGACGCGTCACAGCCCTGAATGAATGTTCCCTGCCTGTGTCACAGCACTTATCAGCATGAAGAGCTGTGGGCGCCAGGCGGTTCACTGACAGTCCCCAGCTGTTGAAACAGACTGCCTCTTCACCTCCTGAAAAACATCTTCTATCTATCTATCTGTCTATCTGTCTATCTGTTTGGCTATCTGTCTATCTATCTATCAATCTATCTGTCTATCTGTCTATCTATCTATCTATTTGTCGATCTATCTATCTATCTGTCTATCTATCTATCTATTTGTCTATCTATCTATCTGTCTATCTGTCTATCTGTTTGTCTATTTGTCTATCTATCTATCTATTTGTCGATCTATCTATCTATCTATTTGTCGATCTATCTATCTATCTATTTGTCGATCTATCTATCTATCAATCTATCTGTCTATCTGTCTATCTGTTTATCTGTCTGTCTGTCTGTCTGTCTGTTCATTTTCAAGCACCATTTACATTAAACCCATTAAAATGAAACCAAACAAAGTTGGTACAAAGCGAAATGACCGTTAATAGTGGATCACAAGTATGTTTTTCCAAGAACAGGTTTGAAAAGATCGTTCTTCAAAGGTTTGGACTTGGCCCGACCAGTATCAGTAAAAACCTAGATTTTTTATATGTCTGAATCGTAATTATAATATTTGACTTAAGTTTTATTGCAATTTTTAAATACCAGGTTAACTGCTACCAAGTTGACAGTTTTCCTAGACCAGATTTGACCTTGGAAAGCAAAGTTGCACGAAGGTGTAATAATGAAGTACAGTGAGACTTAACCTTAAATAGAGCTCTGGTATAGAACTCTATACCAATGTACAGATGCAAAAGTAAAAGTGGAGATATCATATAACATTATTCAGTATTATTCAAGGAAATCACTAAGTCACGTTGGTCTTTTATAAATCAAAACAACTTCATAGGGAAATGACTGTGTGGATAATTTAATGAGACAACGTGAGATTAGACTTGATTATATATGTATTACATAAACCACAAATCACCATGACTCACCTCAGTAACTTCACAGACAAATTAGTCATCTTCTCACCTGATTTATGGTGGCAATGAGCAACTTTGTCGGAAGGCCTAAGCACCAGTTTCTTTTTATTTCAATATTTTAATTATTTTTAATTATGTTATAAAAATATAAATCACATCAGGGGAGGATGACCACAGTATGTTAGTGTAGACACTGACATCACTCTGTTGGAAACAAATATATACAGGGGCGTCTTTATCAGTCCTTTAATCCTGTAAACATTACAGGCATCATTTTGATTTACGTGGTCACAAACTTTAGTTAACTCAAATATCCATCCTAACTGGGGCACGGCCACAGACTGGACAGTACTGGTCATTTTTCTGGAGCTTTTTTAGGCTTTCATTAGTTTGTTTATAGAACCTGTCAGTTGTTCAGGTGTTCATGTGCCGAGCCTGTTAACAAAGCCAGTGGTCATTCTGAATCGTACAGATGTAATTCTCCACTGCACCTGTTCAAGATTGGAAATGAAAAGAAAACCTATGAAAAACAATAAAATGTGAATCCTATTACCAATATGACTCGATGTTAGAGCCTGGAATTTCCATAAAACTGTGCCTCTTCCCCGACTTGTGTGTGATTAATTATAGATTGAATGTAATGTCATCATCTCTGGAGTGGGTCTAAGCTGAAGGAACTCGGGGGACACATGCAGCTTAGCTTGACAAGGTTACACTGCTAATTTTTTTTTTTTTTCAGTGCCCTTGCCGGGGCCTGTCCAAGGAGGAGGAAACGAGTGCACTGCAGCTGATTTTATTAGAGTCAAGTACCAACTATGTGATGACAGGATCTGTTTCCAGATAGATATTAAATGCAACTCAGGTCTTGTGGTATAGGGCCTTGACACCAAGAGCATCTTCAAGGTCATTCAGCCTTCGTTATCTGATTGCATAATGAAATTAATAACTGTGATTCCAAATGGTGATTTTAAAAAGAGAGAATTGTACTGATTTCTACCAATACGTTCACAGGATAAAGTATTCTCTGTGGAGACATTGCTCGATGAACGTGTGCAGTGACATTGATTAATCTCCTTTGTCATAAGTGCTTGTCCACAGGCAGTTACTCACAGGGTTGAAATGTTTCTGACAGCTCAACCATGGACATCCTTTTCAAACATGCTCTGTTGATGTGATCAGCCGAGTCAATAGAAATTAGTCACTGGATCTAGGACTGCAGTGCCGTCTATATTAATATGCAGAATTAACACATAAAGGGAAGGGGCTCCATCCCTTGATGGCCCTATAAACAAATTATCAGTGACTAAGTCCATTCACGCACAGACATGGCTAATCAAGTACATAATGTGTACAGATGGCTTAGGGTTACTCATCTTGCAGTATAACTGAATTAATAATGATGATGTATCTTCAGCATGTATATCACTGTTTCACTTTTCTTAGTGTACACAGCTACTGTGGCTCAGTTACCAGGCAGTGTTCCTTTGAAATATGTGTTTCCTGACAGGGTATGACAAGGTTGTCCTCTTCAGAGGGACTCTACCACTGGAACGTGCACACTGGCTTCTTTTTCCTGGAATTTGAAGGACACGCTTGGTTGAGTTCGTGCAACAACCACTGTGTAAAAGTAAATGTTTAGGTTTTTTTTGTGTGTGTGTGTGTGTGTTTTAGTCTTATGAAGTTAGAGCAAGTGTGAGCAAACCTTTTGACTTGTGGGCCTCAATGGGTTCTTAAATTTGGCAGGGGAGCTGAGTTAGGAGTGTTGGTGGGAAATAGGATATACGACATGTAAAAGCCACACATAAATGCTTCTAGCGCTTACTAGTCCTTGTGGCGAGGTCATGGCAGACTCATTGTCCACTTTTCTTTTCTTTGAACCACACAAATTTACTGAGTTGAGTTGGAATTTCAAACAAAGAACATAGTGAAACAGTGAAGTAGAGCAGCGTTTCCCAACCTTTTTTTGAGCCACATACTGTATATATCACCAGGAAAAACCCCACAGCACCCCAACAAACAAAAATCTTACAAAAAGTATATGTAATGAAATATCATATTCTAGTTTAAATGGACTAAATTGTACTCCTGTTTAGTTGAAGACAATGCTGATATACTGTCAGGAATTGAAGAAAGACACAAAGATCTTCAACAGCTTTGACTCTTTTTTTTTGTTTCAATAACCATCTGCTGCCACCTAGTGGAAGATGATTCCATTGCTCTGCCTGTCACACTGACGAACAAACAAAAACTATTTGCAATAAATTAAGAATAGTTCTGGGACCAATTAAGTGACATTGGATAATTTTGAACGGCATATCTAACGATCTCTCACGGCACTCTAGTGTGCCACGTCACAGTGGTTGGAAATCTCTGAAGTGGGCCATCTATTGGGGAAATGCAGGGATTGTGTGAGGCCTGGTTTTTTTCTTTTTTCTGGTATTATATTTCTGTCCTGTTTTGTTTGTATTGGTTGTGTGTGTGGATGGGCATCTGCAGGTGCTCAGGTACCTTGATGGGCATTACACACCTGCTTCTGATTTACTGAAGAGCAGCCTGGTGTACTTAAACACCACCTAGCTAAGCAACCATGCGTTGTGTGTGTTCCTGCTCCTGGGTCACACCGATTAAATTTGTTCAGGTAGACGAAGAGATTGTAGCACATTGCAGGGGAAAAGGCAACGAAGACTAATATTGATATCGTTTAATGAAATAATTTGGGCATGTTCAGCGGGCCAGATTAAAAAGTCTAACAGGCCATATCTTGGCCCCAGGACATAGTTTGCTCAATGTCTGATTTTATTACTTAATCCCTATTAAAAATATTGCTGAGACATTCACTCATTATGAGCAGGCTTGATCTGAAAAGTGTGTTTGTAGCCCTGACCCTGAAGTTACAGCCAGCCGTGTTTTTTCTTTTTTCTTTTTCTTCATAAATTAAAAATAGAATATCAGCCTGTTGTTGCCTGGTACATATTTCTATTTAAAAGATTAAAAAATATATATTATTGCACTAGACTAACAGCAACAAATTGAAGTGCCTCTTCAAGTATGTTGCATATTTGTTCTCATATTTGCCAACAGGTTCAGTATGGAACTTTTTTTTAACAAAATGAACAGCTCAACCAAATCCTGCCATGTACCATACAGCACAGAAGCAGACACAGACACACTCTAGAGTTCAGTGGTCATTAAATTGACTCATCTCATGCTATGTTAGTAGAAGGACAGCAGTCCAATTATAAAACACACTTACTCAACAACAAGAAGCTTGATTAAAATGATTTTGTCAGAGCTGCTTCTTTATTCTGTCTCCTTGATTATGAGGAAATGGTTTGTACATACTACTGCAAATGTGACGCTGCAGTCTCAGTTAATCTTTAATATAAAGGCAGGGACACCAGTCAAATCTAAAAAGCAGAGGTTCCTGTATTCAGGTTTGAAAAGGGAAAACAGGCCGTTAATGCTGAAAAGTCATGTTTTATCTGAGCTGACTTTATCTGAGTGTTCGATTTGAATGCAGAGCCAGACATCACCCAGGGGCTTTATGCATGGAGCTTACACAAAAGGTGAAGATGGACCAATCCTACCAACATATATAAGTATTCAGAGATGCAGTGAAAAAGGAAAAAAACAAAAACTGTTTAAATCCCTGGCCTCAGTCCACATGTCAGGTAAAACACTCAACCTCTGTGCTTCTGTGCTTCTGTGCAAAAATTAAAATGCTGCATATTAACATGCACGACACAATTAATTTGATTGTGAGTGACTGTAAGCTGTAACATATGGTGTTTTGAGTGATTCTTGTGATTAAAAACAAATACAAAATGAATACCAATAGCTTTTCCTTTTTTCCTTTTTCTGCTACTATAGAAACCTTTTAATTTAGGAAAATACAGATTGGCTCTAATTTATCAGTAGCTTACAGGTTCAGTAATAGTTTACTATAATATATAGTAACAAATTACTAGCTGTACACTAAATATTAGATGTTGCATGTGCTCGGGGACCGGGGGTATCTATTGTTTGTAAGAATTTGTACTCATTTTTATTGACAA